AAATGATGGTTCAATCATACGATGGATCAATCACTGATAGTAAGCAGAAAATATAGCTTATCACATTGTCTTGATTTAAATTTCTGTTCTATACAGAATAGACATGAAAGGATTTTGTACAAGTAGAATCGGAATGTAATTTCTAGTTGATGCTGTTCAAAAATAACTGAAGTGAATATAATATGACTTCTATTTATTTAAATACATAAACATTGATACAAGTAGGTACCAAATCCGTGTGCGTTATGAAAATCATTTGATTTGTGTGAAGGCTAGAATACTTTCTGGATATCCAAACTGAAGTAAGTGGTTTTCTTGAGGGACCACTCCCTGAGCCTTTAACTTAAAGGTCTAATCCACAAGGCAGTAGAGCAACGTTAGGAGATGCAGTCGTATGTTAACCGGTGACTAACAATAAGTGTATACTATATTCGTTCCCTCAGGATCATAGAAATCATGTGCACCATTGAGTTGGAATCAGGGTTTCCAACTCCTCCAGGTGGATACTCTGTACCCATCAAACCGGCTTAATTACCAGACATTTACTTTCTATCCTCTACTTCATATAAACAACACTATTGATGCGAGAAAGCAGTGATCAAGACTACCCTGTTAGTGGCTGTATATGCGTGAAATCGGTTATTGGAAAAAAACTTCTGCAGGGATTATTATCGTATTCCATCAGATCTCTTTTTGCTTACTGATATGACTCAGTTATAATCTAATAAATGTCTTAAGGTGCAGATTTTAAGGGCTTCTTTCAACCATATTGAAACAGCCGAAAGACTTATGAGAAGAAATATTTATTTAGACGAAGAGAAATTACTCTAAGAATCGTAGTTATATCAAGGCATAGAAATGTATGAGAATTGAATGGGGGTCAGGTTTTAAAATCATTACGTCAGTTAGGAGAAGGATAAAGTACCTCTCAGTTGGACGTCCCTCTAGGACACTAAGATCTTTCCAGCATAATATGTAGTCGTTAACAGACAATTTGGTATCCTCATGCTTATACCACAAATATATATTTTACCTATCCTCACACCCAAAAGTCCTAAATGGAGTTTTAGCCACTACTCTGGCATGACACCGGGACTTATAGCCCTGGCTAAACGTTTAGCTCAGTCCATATACCAGCAATAATCCATGGAAACTTTTCCAGCTACAGTTCAGCTAAATAGCGCACCATTGTGATTCTGTATGAGATTCAGATTTAAAGGAGCTGCGTTCTCAGCCCTTAATTGATAGCATCTCTCAGTTAAATATCCTGTTCGAACACTTCTACGTCCATAACACCCCTTCCTTTAGTAAATAGGCGATATATATCCTGGTATATTCGATATTCTGAAATTACAACAGAAGTCACAATTATATCAGTGCTCTCGTATTTCAGTCTTTAGTCCTAGTTTAAAAGTACTTTCAGACAGTGTACTTCTACCCGAATATTGATTATAAAGTGATGGCTTTCTTGTTACAGAGTTTCGTCAACTTTCTGAATAGTAAGGGAGTTGAATACTCACTTTGATGTATTATCCTAGCATATTTTAGCATTAATATAGTTCTAGTGAAGTTCCCATTAAGTGAATTCCCATTAAAGTTAATTGAGTGGGAAGTTTATTTTACTTACAATCCCGAAAATAATCAGCAGCTAACAGTCGATAAAGTGTTAGTATGATGTTGTAGAGACTATTAAATTTTTGGTTAAGATCATGAATCGATTGATGTCAGACCAACATGGAAAACCTGTGAGCACTGGATGACTGTTTCGTCCTACTACGGCACTCCTCAGCAGTGCGCATCCACGATCCCGCGAGATTTGAACTCAGGGCCTTCGGTATCAAGTGCGAACGCGTATCCTGTAAACCACTGATGTGATATCCAATAATGTTAATGTCTAACCTCATTCAATTCAAGAAATTGTGCTACCATCTTCGATCGTACTGAGGTACATACTAGCCTCTACTTGATATAAATTAGCTCCACTGGTCAAATTCGATTATCAGAGCAAGCTTATTCCTAAGTGAATGCCTATTTATATATCTGACTGCGACTGATAATAGTAACATGTGAAATCCTCCTACCTCTCCTCTCATCAAAGTATTCAAACAAAGTGTATGTAATTAGAGTTATTGATGGCTATTTGCCTAGAATGAATTTCTTCATCATGAATAATTATGAATAAGACTGAGGTTTTCTGTATTGTTTCAGCCAGTCAATCAGTCAGCTACAACGTAGGACCAGGCACACATATGTATCGGTCCAAGTTGCCATTCCTCGTTAACACAACAAGATGAACCCCAGATTCATAGAAATAGTTAATTTAGTGGTGGTAATGTGGTGTGAGCTACTTATATCGACATAAGTAGTATATATAGTGAGTAAGGAATACAATATCTGACAGCAGAATATTGAGAAGATCAAGAAGAGAAGAACAGAAATAAAAAGCAATTTGTGTGGAAATCCAGGAACAATAAAGCCTGAGGCAATTGAAGAACATTTTGCAAATAGTGTATCATAGGACGGTTTTTGTATTTTACCAATTAACGTTGTAATTTGTGCTGAATATATAGTTAGCTGTGCTCACCTGTGTTCTCATTCACAGCAGTAGTATATAAAGGGTAGGTTGCATATAAGGATGTAGTATAGGAAGAAAGGAACGTTGTGACGCAATTTTAATCTCATAGTTTAAGGGAAGATATAAAGTGCATACACTTACGCCATTGTGATCGATTCTGAGACATGTCACACTGAGTCTCCAACCATTGGTTACGATAGTTACATGGTCCCCAAACAAGTAGTCTGCATCTACCAACATGGCTCAGTTTAGAAGTTAGTGACTTCAAGGACTGTTTTGTCAAGTTTCGGTTTGGCCGCCCCCAACTCTTTTCCAACCATCCACAATACTAGTCAGCATAGCGCGTCGTGGTAATTGGTGTTCACGTAACACGTGGCCTAACCATCTCAGTCAATGAAGATTCATTACCTCATAAACTGATTTATCATCATTTTCTAATACCTTGTGTCCAACCTCACTGTTACCTATCTAGCAGATGTGAGCAATATTTCTAAGGCAAATACTAGTAACTTACGAGTAGCTTCTACTCTTAATGGCCATGTTTCACAGCCGTAAAGTAGAACAGAACGAACTGCTGCGCAATATACTCGTCCCTTTAATTGATAGACAGATATCTAGTCTTCGCATTGTTTCAGTATTCAGTAAATCTGTTATGTTAAACACTTTTGGTCACTTTGTCGGTAATTCAATATGTTAGTATAGCATATTACGGAAAGATCTTATTCAAAGATTCTATTGTTATCTAAAATGACCTAAAATGAACATGTCATTGTAGAGCATCCCAGGATACAGTTTAGAAAACATGAATATAGAAAAGAGTTCTAACCAAAAGTAGTTTTCAATAAATATTACACTTTTACATGTAACCATGTGATTTGAGAAGGATAAATATCTTATGGTCATTGATCATGATTATTGGTGCGATTTTAGTGTCCTATATCTGATGTAATGTCATATATATTCTATTTACTTCGTATATATTCTGTCAATATATCTTGTTAATAACAACTAAGGTATAAAAGGTTGAGTACGAAAGTATTCGTGGGACATATATATTGGAGACATCTGATAATGTAGGCGAACTATGAGAGGCTGGAAGAAATGCATATGAACTAGAGTGATAGAAATGATCAATTCAGTGAGTAACAAGTGGCTCAGTCTTCCTAAGTAGGAAAGTGATACCAGTAGGTATACAGGCATATAAATATCATCTTACACAACTCATTGTCACATGTACAAATGACAGAATATGTACAGAGATCGGGATAATTCAGCGATCTAAAAGTTAGGATCAATCGTGTACGTGTGTAATAGTACCAGCTGCTACGGAATTCCAGCCAGGTAATCTGCATCTGTTCATATAGATCACAACTATGACAGACCAATTCATGGAATGATACCATGTCCTGTTTTGGCCTCACTTGCTTTTCTTCAAATCCAGTCTTACATCCGTTATCAATGTCCATTGAAATGAGTAGTGGTTCGCTGTAGGTAACATGTGTCACAAACACCTCAGTCATTGCCGATTCTTGAAATCGTCGATAGATCTTCCGTCTTCACCCAGTAATATGCAACTAATGTCAATCCTGTTCATTTCGCTGACCCAACATATAAGTGTAGTGCCTCTAAAGCATCTAGATCGAATGCTGGCAACTTACAGTCCAAAATAACAATGGGAAGATACAAGTAAACAACAACAACAACAACAACAACAACAAGATTGTTGTTAAAACTTGGTCAGAATTTGTTTAAATTTTATTAATATTAAAAGTGGCATACATGATTCATTGAAACCATTGATAATCACTAGCTAAATAGTTTTTAGTGTTGGTTACTATGTTATGCTTATGTAACTTATTCTCACTTCTGAATAGGCCAAGTTATCCATAATTCTTAAGTCACGTTTTGACCTTGTTAATCATCCACTTATCAACTTTGAATGCTTTTATATGAGGGTATGTGTGTGTGTGTGTACATCTTATCCCACTCATCACATATCTGTAGCTTATTTTTGTACGACTATAAATGTTGAATAACGCTTGATTGAATAGAGTTGGCTCACATGCCTTCTCCATCCCGCATTATTTTGCTTCGCTCTCTTCTCTTCTCTTCCTTCACTTCGTCCCTCTGGTTGTCTGTCCAAATCGATTAGTGTACAAAATATTTGTATTCAAAAATCCATTCTCATATTTGACGATAATGGTATACGAGAATAGGTGACATATATATATATATATATTTCTATAGTAACCATTCAATAGTGAACAACATATGATCTCATTGAAGTCGGATCCTGGACCATTGAAAGTTTATAAACATAGAACAATTGTAATACCATATTATATTAAGTAGTATTAATACTGTAACATACAAAATTTGTTATTGTAATCAACAATAAATGTATATAATTATGTTTGTTTGTTTCTTAGAAGATAGATCTTTCAGTATAACTATTGATCAATCCAAGAACAATCATAAAGACTGATGAAAGAGCCAGCCATGATACTTGAAAAGAACCTAAAATGAATGAAGAAAAATAAGGTATGTTTCTGATTTAAAATAAACATGTGGTTTATAGTCATAGTAACTAGTGTAGAATCAATCTTTGAATCAGTAGGCTTTAATATACACAAGTGGATCGTGGAGGTGCACTGCTGAGGAGTCCCATAATAGAACAAAACGGCCGTTCAGTCATTCCAGGTTTTTCATGGTGGTCTAGATTCAATTGATTCATGATTTCAACCATGAAATTACTGAAATCTTCACAAAAACCCTTTGATCTATAATCATGTGCTCACTAGTGACTGACTTCAAGAGATATTTCCTGGAGTTCTGGTGAGAGGCAGTAACCAGTGGAATTCAACCAGGTCTGTTGTGAGATAGTAACTCACTAAAGATAATTGGTGAAAGGTTGCTCAAACATTGTGGATTGGTTGAAGTTAGACATTAACACCTTTGGATGCCGGTCGGCTCAGTGATCTAGAGGTTAAGTGCTCTGACGCGAAACTGGTAGGTCCTGAGTTCGAATCTTGCGAGGCAGGATGGTGGAGGCGCACTGATCAGTAGTCCCATAATAGGACGAAACGGCCGTCCAATGCTTCCAGGTGTTCCATGGTGGTCTAGCATCAATTGACTCATGATTTCAACTATGACAAGTGAAAAATCATGATCCTTAAATACAACCCAATCATACTTGATGGAGAAACTCTGGAAGAGGTTGAAAGTTTCACGTATCTGGGTAGCATCATTGATGGATGTGGATGATTTGATTCAAATATAAAAGCTACATTCCTACATTTGAAGAACATAAGGAACTCAAAACAACTGTCTGTCAACCACTATCAAAGTCATTATCTTTAATAAGAACGTCAAGACAGTTCTACTGTATGGAGATGAAACTCCGAGAACTACTATAACTATCATCAAGAGGGTACAAGTATATACAAACAGTTGTCTACCCAACATATTGAATGTCCGTTAACTGAATACCATGAGTAACAGCCTACTGTGTAAAAGAACGAACTAGCTTCAATCTGAACCAGAAATTAGGAAGAGATGTTGGAAGTGAATAGGACATACAATAAAGAAATCACCAAATTGCATCATAAAACAAACATTAACATGAAATCTTGAACAGAAGACCAAAGAACCCACTGAGTCAAGAATTCAAAGCAGACACGAATAGGAAGAGTAGTAACTGAAATGAACTATAGAGGATTGCCGAGGACAAAGTTGGATGTAGAATCCTGGTGAGAGACTATATTCCACCATGAGGGTTTACAGGCGTAAGTAAGTCAGTAAGTAAATAAAAAAAACTCAATAAATGAATATCAAAAGAAAAGGCTTAGTTATACACCTTTTTATGAAACAATCACTTACTAGCTGAACCAGATGTCGCTTAATATTTTAGCCCCCCCCCCAAAAAAAATACAAAAAAATTTCATTCATTTATATTTCATAAGAAAGATGTTCTGTAAAAGAATTCACAAATTTTTTTGTTGTTTTTTCATCGTTCGATTTGGCAATGTTATTGTTGCTATAGCGGTACTTGAACATAGTACCTTTCACCCCAAATATCAAGAAGTTATCTATATATTGATCTACTCAGATCAACAGATAGTCACTAACTTATATTCACTTATTGAATGTTTACTTGTATCTTCCCATTGTTATTTTGAACTGTGATTGATCAGTCTCTTGTTGAAATATGTTCATTATATGCAGACTGCTTTAATATTGCCTGAAATCACAAGTTTTATAAGCAGCTAAGTGGATAACGTGGTAACGTTTGAAGCAAACGGTATTGTGTTCGAGTCCCAGAGTGAACATCAACTATGAGATGCAGGTACATTTAGCTGACGAATCCCGAATAGGACGAAATGCGCGTCAAACTAGATTCCACTGTTAACTACTATCTATCTTTGCTTATAAAGTCACTAATTTATTTAACAGATATAATAAACATGGGATTATTCATTCAGTTGTCAATATTAGGAATTAAATACTGGTCAAACTTTGTTTTTCTTTTTATATGAATCCTTTAGACAATATTCATCTTGTCATACTGATAGTCACATGTCATCTATTCTAAAATTCATCTGTTCAAGTAACTATCACCTATCTAATCTATACAAAATGTATATTTGTCAAGAGCGAACAATTGGAGTTCAACTGTGAATATAGTCGATGGGTGAACTCACATCTACCGGTTTAGTGGTATAAAAGAAAGCATAACAATATAGTGAATATAAGGAACATACTTGTCGGAGCGGCTAAAATAGAAAAAGATTCACAATGTCAGTTAGGATATTATTATAGAAGTCTGTCAATCAGTCGTATGTAGCTACTAACTTGAAGTATCTCTGTATAGATTCAAGTTGTCATATCATTTTAGATCAGTGAGATGAAATTGTTAAGATAAATCTCAGAACAGAAGTAGAACAAAATGGAGTGAGATAAAAAGTAACTTCACTTACGATATTGTTAATAATTCTAAGGTTATAACGGTTGGATCCATGAGTCGACTTAAGCTAGACCATCATGAGAAACCTGGAAGCACCGGATGGACGTTTCGTCCTACTATGGAACTCTTTGGTATTGTGTATACACGATCCTGTGCATAGGAATTGAACCCAAGTCCTTCGGTCGTGCGCGTGAACGCTTAACCCCTAGACCACTGAGCCGGTATCCAACGATGTCAATGTCTAACCTCAACCAGTCCACGAAATTGCGCGACCTTCCGCCATTGTCTTCCGTGAGTTACTGTCTAACATCTTGAAGTCAGTTACTAGTCAGCTCATGATGAAGATTGTCAGAATCAGGGTTTGTGGAAATTGATACTGAGATATATCAACGAGTGATCGCAACCATCTACTCTGTAACTACTTGAACTTGTTCCTGGAACAACTAGTCATCTCCGTTGATGGAGATTCACTACTTATTCGACAGATATATCATTCTTAAGTATTATTCCGAGTCCGTGTTTGGTTGCCGCATTTTATCAATAGTTGTGTTGAGGACCGATAGATATTAGACATAAAAAATAGAATATATGATTGTGCCTTTCATGTACTGAGTAGACAACTTTTATTTTAATCTATCAACCTATGGAACAAATAGTAGCTCGTTAGTTTAAAATGAAGCCGCCATCATTCTCAATACCGAAGATGATTGCGCTTACCATGAGTCATGAAAATACGGGGAGGTATATCATCATGTTGACGAATAACATTATATTATGCTCATTAGCGATGCGCTCTCACATATCCGTTAATGTTATGCATACCTTTAGACGGAAATTAGTCTCATTTGATGATAATTATTCAAGAGGCCAGTTAGTTAGTCCTTAAGATTTATTTTTTTAACAAAGACATCCATAAATACAAAAAAAATTAATTCATTCATGTTGTTATCTGTGAAATGACAACTTGATTTATTCAAAGATCCAATTCAATACAGACTAATGGCAAATCAGTCATGTAAGAATCTCAGATAGATAGTTAAACATTAACACCGTTGCAAAACGGCTCAGTAGTCTAGTGGCTAAGCGCTCACGAGTGAAACTGATAGCTCCTGTGTTCGAATCTCGAAAGGTGGGATCCTGGATACTCACTGTTGATGAGTATCCCAATAGGACGAAACGGCCTTCTAGTGCTTCCAGGTTTTCCATGTTGGTCTAGCTTCAATTAATTCATGATCTCAACCACTAAAATTACCATAATATCCACAAAACTCCTTCTGATAAACTAAGTATATTGTGAATACAATTGCATAAATAACGAGTTATAAAACACTTTCACATTAGAACTCACTTGTAGCTGAAACACAATTTCAATTATCATGTTTAATACAAGTCAATCTAACAATGATCAAATGATAAACATGATAGACAACTACAAAGTATCATTCATTGAACAGTTTTCAATGGAGAGGTATGTTTCATCATTAAGTGAACTAGAGATATGTGAGTTCGAGTGTGTTTTATATAATGGAAAGACCTATGAATTGGGAATTGATGAATTCCTTCTTTATCTCGGAAGATTATCTGATGGACCATTTACTGATAGACGTTTATCAACCTACACAATGATGAATGTATTTGCATCTTATTGACGAGTTCTAAAAGGTACGAGATGATAATATCTAATTACAGTATCTGACACAATTCAGTTTCACCAGACCTCATATCGAAATGACAATATTGAAATGATTCATTCAACATGCCCATATTCCAACGGAGACTGATCAGTCACAGTCTTTGAAGTCAGTAACCGTGAAATACAAATCAAATTACAATTCCAGTTATTCGATTGTTAGGTATTGACTAATTATTAGACATATAGAAGAACAACACTAAAGTGTTTTTAATCATTAGTAGGTATCAATTATTGTTTAAACTAATTTTTGAAGTTGGATGCCAGATCAGTAGTCTAGAGGTTGGGCGCTTGCGCGCGAGACTGATAAATCCTGTTTTCGAATGTCGCGAGGTGGAATCGTGGATTCTCACTGTTGAGAAGTCCTATAATAAGACGAAACAACCGTCTAGTGCTTCCAGGTTTTCCATGTTGGTCTAGCTCCAATGGATTCATGATCTCAACCACTAAAATTATCATAATATCCACAAAACTCCTTCTGATAAACTAAGTATATTGTGAATACAATTGCATAAATAACGAGTTATAAAACACTTTCACATTAGAACTCACTTGTAGCTGAAACACAATTTCAATTATCATGTTTAATACAAGTCAATCTAACATTGATCAAATGATAGACATGATAGACAACTACAAAGTATCATTCATTGAGCAGTTTTCAATGGAGAGGTATGTTTCATCATTAAGTGAACTAGAGATATGTGAGTTCGAGTGTGTTTTATGTAATGAAAAGACCTATGAATTGGGAATTGATGAATTCGTTCTTTATCTCGGAAGATTATCTGATGGACCATTTACTAAGAGACGTTTATCAACTTACACAATGATAATTGTGTTTTAGAATGATGTTTGTTTAATTAAGGAAGGCTTTAAAATGAATGATAGGTGTGTACAGTTGTCGAGTTCCGAAAGGTACGAAATGAGAATACCTAGTTTCCCTGTTAGACAGAATTCAGTTTTATCAGACCTTATATTTAAATGACAATATTGAGATGATTTATTCATCAAGATGTATATCAGAAACAAATTTTAGCCAAGCTTAGGAAGAGTGTAAAATGAATGATGCGTGTGTGTGTGCAGTTGTTGAATTCCGAAAGGTACGATATGCAAATATCTGATTACACCGTTAGACATAATTCAATTTTACGACACTTCATGTTGAAGTAGAAATATTGAAATGATTTATTCATCAAGATGTACATTGGAAACATATTTCAATCAAGCTTACTAGGATCATCATCGAATAAACCGGAACCTGGATGTTAGAAAAGAGAAATGTTCACAATTACAATAACCAACAGTATTCTCCTTCTTCTTCAATAGATTTACATGTTAATGAAACATCATAGTAATTACATTCATGATCTAAATAATTACCTTTTACATCTTGTACAATTGTCAACAATACAATTGTACTAATTACAGTTAATAGACGATGATGAGGATGAGGCTGATGATATTGATGCATAACTGCTGTCTCTTTCATCGTCTACTCTTCTTCTTCTTCTTCTTCTTCTTCGTTGAACTCTTCGTGTATTTGCGTATGTTCGTTGATTAGTTTTTATAATGAAACCATTTTCAAACAAGAAGAATGAGGAGGAGGACATTTGTAATGTTTACTTTGTTATATAATTCTTATGTAAATAAAATGAGAAAAAAAAATCCGTTCTAAGATAGTACGATTAATGGAGAACTAATCAAATTTACATTATAACCCATTAAGTATGTTTTTTTTTCCGAATTTTAATATACTACTTAATATAGAAAAAAATTATTTTTTAGGATAGACATTGGTGTGGATTATTGATTATGAATGATATTATGAAGTGACTTAAGTTAGAAGTCTATTTGGAAACCAGAAAGCAAAGTACAGATGTATTGTTGTAGTATTGAAATTCTGGGCGCTTCTTTTAAGTAACCTGTAGTACCGTGCTTCAATAATAGTTCACTTCGATAACTGTTATTATTACCAATCTTAACGGTATATAAAATCAGAAGGCAAAAGGAAGCGGCAACTACATTTATATTGATAAACGATGCAAACCAGAAAGCTGTGGACACATGAGCAAGTGTAAGCGATCGAAGCAAAGATGATGCATAGTGGAGACGGCAGAGAAGCCAACTCGAGAACGAAGCGAAAGATAATGCGTACTGGAGATGGCTGGGAAGCCAACTCGCTATGAGCAAGCATTACTCAATATTTATAATCAAACAAAAATGAATGACAGACATATGATGAGTAAGATACGAAGGGTACAAATATACGTTCATATAAAAATATAGTCAAGGTTAATAAGCGAATAATGACTCTGATATATAGGTGAATTGGCTTGGCCAGTAACTAGAATAAAGTATATGGGCTTAACATATAAATTGATACTACAATCCTGTGGTGTTTGAATGAATCAATGATTCCTTTTTATTGATGACAGTTTTCATTTTGAAATCCAAATACAGTACATTCGCTCGTGCTCATCTGATATTTCTTGATTAAATTTCGTTATTCCTGGAATTACTATTATGTACTGTCATTCGAATACACTTAAGCATCACATAGACGTTACCATGGTGCCTGTGATGGAACGGTTGGATATACATACACATTTTAATGCTTTTGAGGATTACATGGAAACGTTCAAAATCTGTGCTGTGGCCAAGGAAAATGTTGAAAATGTTAATATTGTAGCTCGTTTCTTTACATTCATCAGAAAAGAAGCATACAGCTTAATAAAGAGTTTGGCATTTCCAGACAAGCCGATTTCACTCCCTTATGCAATTCTCAAGCAACCATTGTTGGATCATGTGAAGCATAAAAATTTCGAATGCGATAAAGGGGGAAAATTCAATGAAATGACTCGCCAGGGCATCAGCAATCCCATTACTTTAATACGTCGCAGTCCAATATGTAATCAAATTTAATCAGATAACAATTCATTGAGTTATAAAACAGTTCATGAACATGAGCACAAGCTTGGTAAATGCTTGTTCTGTGGTATGTGTGATGTTTAAATAAATTAATGACTTCTTCATATTGATGACTGTTGTAATTTTGAATTCTAAATACAATACATTCGTTCGGGCTCATCTAATACTTCTTGATTAAATTGCGTTATTCCTGGGATTAATAGTTTATACTACAATTCAAATACTTCTGATTATCATATTGGCGTCGCGATTGAGCCTGTGATGGAACGGTTAAATATAAATTCAGATTTTAATGCTTTTGAGGAGTACACGGAGAGGTTTGAAATCTGGGCTTTGACCAAGGAAAATGATGAAGATTTTAATATTGTGACACATTTTCTTACATTCATCGGTCAAGAAGCCTACAGTTTACTAAAAACCTTGGCATATCCAGATAAGCCGATTTCACTCCCGTATACAACTCTCAAAGAATTACTATTAAATCATGTGAAGTGCACCAGTTTTGAATTTCGTGAGAGAGCAAAATTTCATAAGATTATTCGTCAGGATGACCAGAAGGTTAAAGACTTCATCCTTGAATCGCAAAGACAAGCTGCCAAATGCAATTTTGGTGATCAACTTCATGTACAGCTGAGAGATCGGTTAATTGCTGGAATTAACATACCAGGTCTGGAAAAGGAGCTGTTAAGAATGCCGAACTGTTCTTTTCAAGATGCTAGAACTGCATGTATTAACTACGAAGCAGTGAATGAACTTGATATTCAATCGATGAAAATTTCTAATACTTTGCTTAGTCGTCATGATGAAATACTATCTCAGGGTCGATCAAATTTGCGTTCGTTTAATCGTGATTTCTATTCTCGTGGAAATATGAAAGGTGATTCAACAAGGGACTGCCAAGGAAGCAACAGAGGTGAGAATAATTTTGGTAAATACTTATCTTGTGGCAAATTTCATCCTCGTAATTCATGTGCATTTCGTAATGCTAAATGCTTTAACTTTGGTGAAGCTGGACACATTCAGTCAGTTTCTAATACCATGCTTCATTTTGCTGTAAGTAATGCTAAGATGGATGTTTCTAATGATCAATTATCTTTATCTAGAAGTGGTATAACGTCACATAGCAGTCCAGAGTTAACTGAAACTCAGAATCATTGTGAGACAAAAATTTTTAACCAACAAACTTATCGGATTTCTCATGATATTGAACCAGATATGGTTTGTCGTAATAATTCACATACTTCTGATGAAATTTCTTACAACTCTGAGAATAGAATGTTAAATGAGTCGAATCATGATCAAAAACCGGATTCACTTTTAGTAGATGCTGATTTTTTTAATGATCCATTATTCTCTAATGAATCTCTTAATCAATTTGAGGAAAATATTTCAGAGAAATCGAATTCTGATATCATATCAAGTGTCAGTGGTCCTCACAATCAATTCATCTCTAATGATGTTCCTAATGAATGTTAAAAATACGTTCCGAATGAGTTGAATTCTAGTCATATTTCTGATGTTATTGAGTCAGATGTTGGATACTCTCACGAACAATGTATGTTGAATAGAATCTCTAGTCAGGGGTATGATTAATCAAAGGGGATAGCAAAATTTACCGAAATAATCAGAGAACCAGTTTGCCCAGAAGTGAAGTTTGCACAGACAGAGAATTCAAATCAAGTCCAAGATTATCCTAATGAATATGAGGCAGATGAATGTTTTCTATTCGATTTTTTCGCAGGTTGAATCACATGTGTTAATTACATATATCAATGCATACCCATCTGTGTATTCTAATATGAATAACAAAAAGAATATGTATCATGATTTTTATTCAAGTCAAAGTCACATGATGGAATACCTCGAATTATATATCAGTGTTTATTCCCAAATAGTCATATACAGTAGTCGATGCGTGAGATTTGAGACGATACTGCAAATTGGGAATGTCATATTGGCTAAAACATTGCGACGTAAGGACCCAACATTATTTCGTGGGGGAGGATATTGTTGGAAAGTATATGATGCAAATTCTAAATATCAATGGTTTCACTACACAACCGACATGCTGATTGTATACAATTCCAGAACCTAGGTGAATCTGTTCCAATTTTCGTTGTTAATTCTAATACTAATGAGTGCATTCTAGATAATACAGTGTGTACATCCAATGCACCATCGGACAGATGTAAGATGAACTTAAGAAGACGAACAATCGATTACAGACACTTACACTTCAATTCGAGCTGTGGCGGATGTGATGTTTAAATAAATCAATGACTTCTCCGTATTGATGACTGTTGTAATTTTGAATTCTAAATACAATACATTCGTTCGGGCTCATCTAATACTTCTTGAATACATTGCGTTATTGCTGGGATTACTAGTTTATACTATAATTCAAATGCTCTTAAACATCACAAATATACATATAGTCTATCCTTCTCGTGTAAAATTATCGACTTAAGTTGCTTTGATGAATATCAAAATTAAATAAGTCAAATACGAAAATGAAGTTTTGAATACGTATATTTTGTACACTTATTTATCTGGACAGAAAGTCAAAGGGACGAATCGAGTGAAGTGAAAAGACAGGAGCGAAGCGAAATGGCGCTCAATGGGAGAAGGCATTTGAGCCAACTTTATTTAATCAAGCTTGAATTGATATTTATAGTCACACAAAAATAATCTACAGACATATGATGAGTAAGATAGGAAATACACACACATATGCTTACATAAAACAGTCAAGACTGATTAATGGATAATTAACGAGGTGAAAATGTAGCTTGACGATAATGGATAGATTGATTTGTCCAGAATCTAGAATGCGTTATGAGAGCTCGACACTACAGGAATGAATAAAAGTTCTATTTTATCTTAATTGGTAAATAAAATAAACTATCTTGGTTTAATAATATTAACTGACACCACATTGTTATCCAGAATTCTGCCACTAAAGTTCAATCCCAGAAACTTAAGTCTAACGCTTGAACGCTTAACATCGAAACTACTCATCCGTAATCCAATGATTTGTATGTTTAATTTCAATGGTAATGTTCAACCGTATTTACTTGTTTCCATCAGGGTTACTTCATCACATATGACATGGTTGAACTTCCCTAGTCACGGCATTTTTATTAGAGTTCTAGAATTAAATCCTAAAACCGATCAGTGAAAACCAGCGAATGATCATTAGTCAAGCGGTTAATAGAGATTATGTTAAACGAGACATAACAAATTGGCGACGGGGATTCTGGGAAAAAATACAGCAGCCGCTGACGTCATTTCGGAATTAAATAATCCATAATAATTGCCGGTGTTTTTTTTGGATTATTATTGTTATTTGCATTTAAAAAAAATATGGCTTTAACTTCCGACCAATTTCAGTTGCTAATCCAGCGACAAGAGCAGCGCTTCAGAAAGAGTCAATTGGATTTCATTGACAAATTACACGCGAAGCTGCTGAATCACCCATGCTTTGGGGGTGAAACGGAAGTTGACGCAATAATTTCAAAATTGCGTACAGAGCTGGAAAACGATTACAGAACTAATGAATAT